CACCCAAAACCAGCAGACGCATAAAGTCCGCCTGCTGTTTCATCTCTGCCACAGGCCACTCCCTGCACCCGTCAGAGCTGCGTCGTACCGGCGGCCTGTATCGAATGTCCACCAGGCAGCTGGGGTCACGCCCGACCCCCTGCTGTCTCCGTCCACAGGGCAGAATAGTCTGCTGTTGGACTGACAAATGCGACGGCGGGTGGACCGTCCGGACATCCCTCCGCGGCACCGCCTCCATCTGTGATAACTGGCGCCCTAGGTAGGCCGGTTTTGGCTGTTTTGCAATTGAAGTTTTTCAAACTTTAAGTAGTTGTCACGATTAGTTTTAAATCACAAAATTATGTGTACCTAAACATTTAAGTAGCAATGATAGAGAGAGTGACAGAACTGTGTGGTAGCACACTCAATTGCTTTTCTTCTGGAAGTAGGGGCGGATAAAGAAGATTACGTATACGTACCGTAAATCTACGATCTCAGATGCATACAGCCAAGCGTTTGCAATTATTTCGGAAAATCGCAAAAATGACTTTAGTTTTACCAATCCCGTTTAATCTTTTGCCCAAGATAAGGAGAATGCTCGATCTTGACTTAATGTCTAGAAACACATATAAGTGAAAAGAAAATGAACACGCGAGCTCTGGGATAATACTTGTATTCGTTGGAGCTCTCGGCCTCGTACAGGGGGTCATCTTCAGAGACTGTGAGAATGCGGCGTCAAATGAGCAGTTTTGGGGAGGGGAAATAGATGTGCAGTGGATGGTGTTCGTGACAAGGCTGAGTCCACGCCGTCTCACGGCGGCGTGACTGCGTGCACCCTTGGCTGGGAATTGGGTCTTTCTTTTTGGCCGCGGGAACAGAGCGCGTGATAGCCGGGGGGGGGGGAGTACCAACGTGTCTATTGGTGGAATTGCTGTTCCACACCCAGGCCTCCAGCAGTTCTCCCCTTGTCTTATTGCTGGCCCACGCCACTACCCACGTGGTCAGGAAGTTGAATCCGTGGCCTTCATCCAGGGTGTGAGTGGCAACCTGAGACAACGGGTCGCTTCTCCGGTCTGCCCCCTTATGCTCTGTTATTCGCGAGCCAAGCCGTAGTTCGGTCTGTCCTGTGTAATGGCGACGGTAGTCCCGACATGGGATTTGATAAACAACACCCGATTATTCTACGTCTAGTCAGTCCTTCACTCGAATGATTTTGTTGCGCATGGTCGCTGTCAGACGGTGAGTGATACTCACGCCAAGCTCTCCAGTGATACGTTCTGTCACTTCGGCACATTCTTTATATGCGGTAAAGGGTGCCAGAATGTTGGTGACTCTCCTCCGTTTGTTCGCCGTGGGTGTGTTTGCGGAGGCAGCGGCTGACGAAGCTGTTTGAGTATCCAGTTGGTCCCGAAGATGCGTGGCAGGGGAGGAAATACTCAAAACTCGGATTATTGAAATTTACAGATGGTCACAGCCTCCACCACGAACACGGCTCTTGGCATGCTAGTGCTCAATACAGTCGACCCAGCAAATCTTAAAAGCCAGTAGTCGCCCCCCAGGTGCGACGACATTCTCGGGTGATGGGTACATTCCAGCCAACGAAGTGGGTGGAAGTGTGGACACGAGGAGGGACCAGAGATAAGGGGGTTGGCGGAGACACTGCGGTCAGCGGCCAGCGAAGATGCCGTGCCCGCAGCTGACAGACGCACTCTATCCCGTCTCGTGCAGATGCGCCGACGAACGCGGCAGTATTGTGCAGGCCAACACGACACTCTGGCCAGACTGGCACGGTCGATGTTATTCGTATAGTAAACAGACGACTATGGAGGCAAACAGGCAGTCCAGAAGACGCAGGTGCAATCACTGGAACAAGAAATATATTGGTCTGACGTTTCGGATTCTCACTCGAACCCATCGTGGGCGACGGTTGCAGATAAGGGTAGTAGTGGCACACGGAGTGCATATACGCACTACGCAATCAATAGCTCTCGCAATCACCGTTGGGGGTCGAAAGACCCGCTGCCAAGGCAAGAAATGTCTGGAGTCGTTTGCCGGATCTGGTGCAGTTGCGGACGGAGTAACTACGTCGGAAAGCTGGGAGAAGACTCTGGATGCGCATGGCTGAGCACGCAGAAGCGGTGAGGAGGAAAGTCGCCAGCACTCAGATGACAAGGCATTCCACGGCACCCGCCATATTTTAAAGTTCCAAGACGTCAAAATCCTCACAAGAGGTGACAACCGGGTGAGCCGGGAGCTGCTTGAGTCATGGTTCACTGGCTCCCAGTCCATTAACAAGTGCAAGTATCAGTGCTGAAACTTCGCCTAGGCAGAGTACTTGGTCACGCGAGGAGCGCACAGGCGAACACTGTTCCCAACACCAGGATCGGTGCGTCAGATGGTCGGGCAATCATCACACCAACATCCAACACACGTGATGAAATTGCAGCAATTAACGACGCCAACGTCGGCCATGAAACATTCAGCACACCAAGACCAACTATCCCTGATGAAGGAGGACAGCCGTAAATATTTACCGGTATGCGGTAGCATGGCGACTCCATCTTATAAATCCTGCAGCCCCTTGTGCATGAACCACCCGTACCTACTTTTGTCTCTGATGATGGGTTCGAGCAGGAATCCGTAACGTCAGGCTAATAAAGCTCTTGTTCCAGCGATCGTGTCTCCTTCTTCAATACAACTTGTAGTTTGGAAACCCTGAATGCAAGTGTAACGGCAGGTCGTGTTCAAAATCAATCGAGAGTCGGAAAGTTTTTGAAGACCGAATTATACCCTTTTTCAAGCCTAACATTGGAAGAGGGCGTAATTTTCGACCAAATGAGTAAAAGAATGACTATTTTTATGCATGTCTTCCATGAAATATAATTGAATTTTTAAGGGCATCGAAAATCAAGGAGAAAAATGCATGCTACATAAGTAGTCATTTTTTTCAGAGAGTGTAGTTCTTGCATACAGCCGGAAAGTAGTTTTTTCGAAAGCCGTATCCCGACATAACTGAATTTTTATTGAATTATGCTGCACGATGATTGATTTTACAACCCTACACCTAGGTAATCTTTTAATAACTAAAACGCATTTCAGAATTTCGGTTATGTTGGGAGTGCCTACACAACTAAAAACAAGAGTCAGCCAATCACTGGAGGCCACGTGCATTTTCTCTACTGCGCTGTCAACTTAATCGTGGCGCCTCTCCATTGGCTTTTCCTTGCGGGCCTGATCGATCAGCATATTCGAATTATCGACCGGCTCGTCTGGAATGTTCTTCCCGAAGGGCATTGGACCGAACGCTGGCGAAGCACAGTAGGGCGTTATAAATATGCGTTACTTCTAGTTAATTTTGACTTGCAATTTCCTAATAGACATTTTCGTGGCCGGTCGCGTTCTCCTTCTCTGCCGCGTCAGTATTGGTGACAAGGGTCGAGGGCATATACACTCCACGGGATTTCAAGTACCAGGCGGGTCATAACAGGTTGACACTCCATGAGTTATTACACTTACTGTACATATGTTACGTAGGCTGCAATGGCTCCTTTTTAATGTGGCCTTTATGGCACTCCCATCACAGTGTGGAATCCGAGCCAGGCGTTGGCGGCACGCCTAGGTGCGGCTTCGGCCGTGCCAGCCTCCAATCTCGGTTGTATTGGTTGAAATCCTGGTTATTTGTTGTGTGGACCAGGGGGTGTGGCGGAACGCCAAGGTGAGGATCCGTCCGAGCCATCCACCTGCGGCCTCCCTCGTCTCCGGTCTTCTTGACTCTGTCTTGACACCGGGCTCGGTCGAGGGAGGAGGAGAGAGTGTAGGTAGGTGCAGCGCAAGTCTACCGGCATTATAAACCCCTGCACAAGTCACCGTCCCTGCTTCCACCGCTGCTGCAGCTGTGGGGCACACGGTGGACATAATCGAAATCGATGGTCCAACTGTCAAGCGCTGACAATCTTGAACTAGCTGCGATATGCATGTATTCCCTCTCCGGGACACGACTTGACATGCCCTGACCTCGCCAGTGGCGGCTGCTGTCTGTGGTAACTGCGAGATCCCGACTCGGCGCGATGTTGGTGACATTCTAGGTACACCCACTACACACGAGCCGGTGTCTGAGGTTTGGTGTGGCCGACTAGTGAAAGCAAGCACTTCGGAGGCAGTCATGCCAGTTTCCTGCATCGGAAGCGGTAGAACCTTTCAGCCAGATCGCACACCGTATGCATCGCCAACCTTGGTAGGAACAAGTCGCCGGATA